CAGAGGAACAGATTTGTTACTCAAGTGTGTTCACTGACAATACTGACTAGATAGCCTAGTAATCTCTCGCATCAGGCTAAGTTAATTTATAAAAAGGAAAAAGACAAAATGCTCTGTAAAGATTCAAGGTACTTTCACCTTGAAGAGAGATTAACAGAATATGTAAACTATTGTAAGAGTTTTGATAATGTGTGGCAGGGAGCTACTGTTCTCTCTGTTGGATGGTGTTGGAACTGCTCAGTTTGAAACTATATCCTCAATTGTTTGTGTTGAACAGCCTCTCCCCTGAACAAGCAGTAGACACAGGCTCCCTTGGTAAAGGAGGTTCTGGAATCTGCCCCTGCCTTACAGCCTGAGTCTCCCTGTTGTTCAGGACAGCTAGTGAGCTCTGAAAGGGTACCACTTACGGCAACAGTGAAAAAGAGTAAACGGCCCTTGTATTCCAAGGCTTAGTGTCTCTTGGTTAGAGCAGGGGAATGGGAGTAGAGCATCATAATACAGAATCCTAAATCATTCACTTGGCTGCTCTTCTTCTGAGTAGCTTCATCACTGCTACATTTTCCTCATCTGTAATAACAGACATATGTCTGTGCAGGAAACTGATACCTTCAACCAAAAGTCTAGTATAAAATATACATGTTCTAAGAAAGCATCAGTAACTTTTCCAAAAAGAAATAGCTTTACTTTATGCTAAATTGCAGTGCCTCTACTGTCATATGATACTGCTTTCCTAACACACCTAAGTCAGCTGAGTCAACAAGCTAAACACCACACATCCCTGTATTAATTTCAACAATCCTGACACCTCTGTATCATGGTGTTACACTTCATAACTCAGCTGTCAGCCTGCAGTAAATGTGGTGGTACTGTCAGTCCACACATACCAGGGCTTAGTATCACGAGGAGAGTGTTTTGTACGCTCGCTGTGAGAAATTCCAATTTTATACACTTTCTACACTTAGAGTAACAATAGGCTGGGTTCGCCACTCTTTTCATTTTATGTCTAGTGCTAATACTATAATAAACAAATATTTGTTCGCTGGTTCTTCCTCTCTAAAGAATCCCTTTGATATAGGACCAAAAAGGTCTGAAGTCGTTCCTTCAGTTTCAGAGGAAACACACATCTACTGGTAACTCCTGCAACTGGGACACCTGTTAGTCTGACCGATGAGACAATAAAATCAGACTCAAATTGCTTTATTCAGTAAAGATAAGTAGATAAAATCACAGAAAATAAAGTCACAGTAAAGTAAATTCTTGCTCCATTCACAGCTGTTAGTTTAATGGAATTGCCTTTCTCATGAAAAGCACAGCTGCTCCAGGCCTGCCTGCAGCAGGCACGTCGGCATCGGCCGCGAGGGGCTCTGGAGCTGCAGCAAGGCTTGTCCTCAGCTCCCAGGGCTCCTTCCAAACCGACCTGAATCTGGACCTGCATCTAGAACTGGAGCAAGCCACTGAACATTTTGACCAAACCACACTGGTGCCCATTTAGATGGAAGCTCAGCCGAGCCTTGGTTTGTAAACTGCTGAGCGCATCTGCTGTCCGGCCACCCTCTGCCGGGCTGTGGTAGATGTGGTGCAGCTTTCTGTATTCTGCCCCTTAGTAACATCACTCCATTTCCTTGCTACAAGTGAGCATGTGTCCTCACAAGCTGGTAGAGCTTTTCAAACAAGACTGTTAGGCTTGGTGCGCAAGTGTTACCGGCATCTTGTGTCTGCAGACAATGGGCAGGTAATCTCTGCAGGTTCAACTACTTGTGTGTAGAAGTGCAGTGCTGGACATGGGTCCAATTCTCCAATTTGTGAGTGTGGCCAGTAGTTAAACATACAGGGCTGTTGTCCTCCCCTGTACTCACTTGATGTTTACTTTAGAACCCCTCCTTCAGCTTCTGCCACACACAAAATAGGACTCTATGCCTTAGTTTGCCATTTCTAAATGAGAATAAACCCACTTAACTCACAGAGAAATTGTGAAAATAAGTCAATTAGTGTATCGGAAACAGTCTGATACTGCACTGGCAAACACAGAAACAATGCTGGTTTTAGAACTTGGTCTAAACAGTATGCAAAAAATAAGGCTCTAGACTCCTAATGAACAGTGACAGAAGGAGAAATTATTGAATCGTTGCTCATTTAGTGAACGTGATTCCTGCTGTGCACTGGATAAAATTGGCCCTGTGGGGAAAATAGAAAGACTAGGATAATTCTTACAAAAAGAGGAATGACTTATGGTTGCAGAGATGAGCTTAAATTTAGCATTTCCTCAGTTTTACATGATAAGTGTGGCCATCCAAAGGCACTTCAGAAAATGGTGTGTGGGTATTTGATTTGGGTGATTTTCTAGCTTTCGCAGAGAACTGAATATGTAGCAATGCTGTCCTGAGGCATTGTCCTAATACCTTCTGGAGGTATCAGTTGACTGAAAGCGCTGAAGTGCCCAAAACTCACAGATATCTCCCTTATTTCAGCTAAGAGAAGTTGCCAGGTGGTATTCTATCACCCACTGCGTGGGGAAATGCCATGGGGACATAGAGCTTTGTCACAAGCAAACGAAGCTTCTAACCTGGTGGAAGAGGGAGCCTATAGTAGAAGTTGTACCTGGGTGGACAGTCAGCAGTGTCCCCATCCGCATTCTTTCTCAATTTTAGCTTGTTGCAATTAAGAAATGAAGCTGAAAGACTTCATTCACCTTTGATGAATAAGCCGATTTGTGAAAAACATAATGGATTATAACGTCCTAAATGCCAGTGGATTTTCACAGGGGCAGCATGAAGTAGCCTTCTCAGATTTCAAACCTTTTCCAAAATATGTTTTCTTTTTTTTTTTTTTTTTAATGTTCAAGAAGCAATTCCTAGAATTTCTTGACACAGATAAAATACTTGATTTTCCCTTATCTCATCCTTGGAAAAAGCAGAAATTATTTGTCTGAAATTCTCTAAAATGCTCACTGTGAAAACTTAATCCCAAACAGTTATAACTGACATAAATTGTAAACAGTTGAACACAGGATCATCTAATGAGAAGTGTCAGGGAATATTAATAATAGATGTTATTTCCAGCCATGCCTGTAATAATACTTGATAGGATATTTAAGGTAAAGAGATGCAAGTGTAAAGTGAGGCAAATGTATGTACTCATCTTTTACATTTTAATGGAACTAATTAATGAGGCTGGCATGCTTTTGAAAATGCTTTAATTTATTCTTTGATTAAAAAGTAGAAGTCTCTCATTAGTATAAAAATATCTTTTCTGAGTTATACTTCTGCAGTGTATAAAACAGATCAGTGCTGATATAAACTGGGAATTTAAAAATTATTGTTTACATTGCATACTATTTCTGCAACATTCATTGTGGATTTACATCATAATTAGTTTGCTCTGTTTTCCCTGCAGTGAGCTTGACTTGGAACGGGAAATTCCTCTGGATTTAACTGTTGCACCTGATTGCTTTTTTACTTTCAGACATTGGCCATAAGGCATTTATTTTAATCTTTATTTCTGTGAGAAGGAGAAAAAAAAATCTGTTTCTGTGTTTGATTTATCAAATGACTTCTTTTCAGTTTTGCTTGGTTTTATGTAAGGTGACCTTTGCGTTTGTGGGATGATATTTTGATTATAAAACGCTGCTTTGGCTAGCTCAGAGTTTTGTGAATATACCTTAATTTACATTATTCCTCTGCAGTCCTCATTTGGGGAAAGAAGATCTAGTGTAGCAGTTCCTCTTCAATGCCAGGTTCTGTAATTAGTATCCTCCTTCTATTTCCTCACCATTTTGGTAAAATATTAATTGATATATCACAGTGTGAGTGTGTAGGGTGTGGGGGGGTGTTCCCTAGCTGAAGCTGCATTCATGGAAAAAACAGGGGATGGCTCCAGAGGGGGAACGTAGTTGTACCTTTGGATAAATGCGTGATTCCGATGCTTCTCTGCCTCACTTTGATGGATGAAATTCTCCCCGGGCTGGAGGGTTTATGAGGTCTTTATATTACTAAAACATCTTTGAGCTAAAGCTAAAATCCTGCCAGCTTTCAAGAATTTTGTCTAGATAGTAAAGGATTTGAATGTTTCCTCTGGCATAGGGCAGTGCTGTAGCTCCTACATCAGCCCCTGCCCTTCCACAGGTTGTTGTCCGTCAGTCAGAGCAGGGCTGTCCTGGGTCACAACTTGCTCTCCTCACCCCTCTACTCGCCAGCCTTCACCTCACCTTTATGCCTGGCATTTGCAAAGCAGCGGGCGAGGGAAATCATGGTGCAGGCTGACAGATTCCTGCTTTCTGCCGACCCGCCCGGGTCCTGTGTGTCATCCTTCCCTGTATCCCTTGAAACTGGCAGAGGAGTGAGGAGGATGATGGTGTGGTTACCTGCTGTAGAGCACCGACCTCAACCTGAAAGGAGCTGAAGCTGCTGCAAACCAAATGGTGGCTTATTGCTTTTAGACGCTCCTTTTTCAGCCTTCTGCTACAAAAGGTTCAGCCTCTGAAATGAAGTTGCAGCCTTCCCTGCCCCTGCTTACCCCTGTGGTGGGGCTGGGAAGATGGTTGTGATGAGGGAGGAGGATTTTCTTTCTAGAAAGGCAGGATAAGATCCGGAGCATCTTGTTGGCTAAGTAGAACAGATGGAAAGCATACCGCTTTGCCCTCCTCAGCAGGTTAAAATCTGGCGGCTTGTGTGTGAGATTTAATGTGGATATGAATAAATAATAGAAAGATGGGAAAGAAATATTTGCTCAAAACAGAGTTTACACAATGATATGCTCTACCAATAAATCAGTCCAAAAGTACTTCCTTGTCGAGACTCGTTTTTCAGCTCCCTTGGCAGCAGCTAGTGTCCCAGTTTGGAGGGCACTCTGTGGATTTCAGTGCCACCATTCCTCCCTTTCCCAGCAATGTCACATCTCCCAGTTTTACTAATACAAAGCTCTTCCTTGTGTAAGGAAAATAGATTAGCCATTTAGAAAGGTTGTCCAGAGACAACTCATCAAAGAATCCAGAGCCGTGTGAGTGGCAGCACTATCTTACAAGTCCTATAAATAGTTGGTGTCACCCCATGCACATCTTCCTTGGATTTTGCATTTATTTCTCCCTGCATTATACACCAACATGGGTAGCAAAATATGAAAAAGAGGAGACAGCAGAGATTAGGGGCTGGAAACATTTTCACAGCAGTATCTTGTCAGCTTTCCAGCACACTCTGACTTATCGAGATCCAAACACTCACAGCTGGTGCATATTTTAATGCCAAATGACTGGCATGGCTGAAATTGGAATTCACAGTCTCTCAATGCACCGTACTAGCGCATTTAGTCAGCACATTGCTTTTGTGTGACTCTTTTAAAGTTAAGTTACACTTCAATGAGGGTATTTTTATGGAGGCACTGTGAACTTGCACGGAAGAGTGTGTGGCTTGGTGTGCCAAGTGGCTGTATGTCTGATTAAAATTAGAAGTAAAACAACATGAAAAACCCTGCTAATTTACTGCCCTAAAATTGTCAATTAGAGCAGTGCCAAGCAGTCTGGCAAGAGCTGCAGTTCTTCCAAAAGGCAGAAGAGCAGTGCCAATTCTGAAGCAAAGGAAAGAGAGGAAATATTTGTCAACTCTATCCAATAACTGGTCACGTAATAATTGGGCAGTAAATTCTCCAACCTGAGTTGCTTGGCTAATGGTTGTAACAATGCCTGGTTTTGTGGGGGCTTTTGGGGTTGGGTTGTTTTGTGTGGGTTTTTTTTTTTTTAATTTTTAAAATTTTCCATCAGTGTGTTCTTTTTCATTTGTATTGTGATGGGTTGCTGTCTAACTCAGTGCTGAGCTGCATGTTCTACATTGCCATGTTTCCTGAACAGCTCAGTATATAATGTGGCATTGTCTATGAAATTTGAAATAATCATCAGTTTCTTACAATGGCACTAGAGGAAAGAAGTGTTTTGGGACAAGCTGCTTCAACAGGGTGATAGGTGGTGTATATCCGTCCTCTGAAATTCAGTGGCCAGAAAGATGAAAGCCATTTCCCTTCTAGGAAGTGTGGCTCAATTCTGTAGTAAGATCTTGCCTTGATTTTGGTTCCCTGACCACTGCTAAGAGTACCGCTGGGGCGTAAGGGGCCACACAAAGAGGGGTCCTCTAGCCTGGCTACCGAGCCTGCCAGCTGTAGGGGGGCATCTTCGGGATCATCCTTCTAACGGTGCTGCTGGAAAGGGTTGTGTCACACAACGCGGTGGTGCTTGGGGGTAGGCTCTCGCAGCTTAAGGTCACAAACATTGTCTAAATTATTCTAGAGTCATGGAGCAGCTCAGATTTTGTTCATTAAAATTCTTACTAGACTATGAAATGAATTGAATCCAATTCAATGGAAGCAAGATCCCATAATGAGAGATGTTTTGGAACTCTCCAGACCTACAAGAGTGTTCTTTTATTTTTTTTTTTTTTTTTTTCATGTGATCCATATGTTTGCAAACAATTATCACACTGGATTAATTTGACACAGAGGGAGGCAACAAATCAACCAGTACTTCTATTATAACTCAAATTTTATGGGACTTTATTTTGTGATCTGCTTTCTCTGCTTTTTCTTTTTTTTTTTTTTTTCAATCCTAGGTTTCAGCTTATATTAATGACTGCAATAGAATCAGACTTTAAAGATGAACAAAACAAAATATAGTATGTGCACCAGTGTTAAAAATCGATTAATTAAACATTTTGGCAAAAAAATCTTGGGTGGGGAAACAATACAGAAGGTAAGTTATGACTCTGTAAAGGAGTAGAGCTAAGCCTGAGCAATTATTGAAGAACATGTGGAAAACAAAATGAGCAACAGGTGGCATAGGACACCGAGAGGAACAACAGGGGTATCCAGGCCAACACTCACATGCTGCACTGGACAGGGTGAATAATCCCTGCTATTAACTTCTATCCCTCCTTGTGCAAACCTGTGCCAGGACAGAGTCGTTTCAAAGAGTGACGGGAAGATATGGTCAGACACTGAATTAAGTAGGAAAAGGATACAAAGGGAAAGGACTTCAACTTGTCTCAAAAAAAAAAATAAAAGCAAAAAAGCTGGGGCTTGGTTTGCTTTTTTTTGTTTTTTTCTTGGAGGCTGATCTGAGATAAATGAAAACCAGATCGGCTGGCATTTGTGCCTGGTCTATGTCAAGAGCTCTTGTCTCAGGAGCTAGTGAGGTTCAAAGCTAGGACCTCAGCAAGACCAAAGTCTGCCTACTCTGTAACTTGAAAGAGAAAAACCGAAACCTAGTGTCTTTTTTTTTTTTTTTTTTCCCTGAGGTTCTGAGGTTCAGAGCACGTACACCTCCTGGTGGTCTTAAGAGGAGTTTCACTACTACCTTCAGTGGAAGCAAGATCAAATTGTGAACAGTGTATTTTACCGTTATTATCAAGTATGTTACATATATGCATGGGGAAAAGAAAAATGCTAATGCTCTAGTGTGCAGTACCTAGCTTACTTACAGGCTTAGTGCTTTCCAGTAATACGAAACAATTTAAGGTATGAAATTGTGAGAAGAAATCGAATTATTTTGCACCCAGTAGTTGTAATTAAAACAAAACAAAACAAAACAAAACCAAAACAACAACAACAAAAAAAACCACAAACAACCAAAACTCAAATTTAAGAACAAATTCGAGTTCTTTCACAAAGACATCTCTGGTTGTCAAGAAAAGCTGAAGTAGCACAAGGACCAGATTGTTCATGTTCTTCACTTGCAGTCAATGTGTTTAGTTCTTGCAAGTCCCATCCTGGTTGAGTGCAGAAAGAATTATTTATGTTCAAAAGACCAGGCCCCAACCAAATAATCTAGAACAGCTGCATGTTTTGGTATTAAATTCAATGGGAGCAGGAATAGGGCCGTGATGGGTCAATATAAAGTGAAATGCTCTTTTGGCTCAAGCACTTGCATTTTACTCTTCACTTCAGATCCATGTTGCCTTCTTAAGTCTCTCATTCCTGCATGGACTCAAAGATAGGATACATGCCAGCTGTGGTTCTTTACATGTCTCTGGTACTGCAGATACTTAATGAGCTTTAACATAATTTATTACCAGTAGAGAGCAGTCTGAGATTAGAATTAATATTGGTCATTGCACGAGGAAAATACCATGGTTGAGCCATACAGACAATACACAGTGCACAATTAAACGGATGAATTTTTAGGCATACACCAGGTGTACTTGTAAAAATAGCTTATTTTTGCCAGTTGGGCCTTTAAAAAGCAAATGTTTGAAACTTTTGAATATAACCTAAAATGAAAGAAAACATGGTAGTATTTTTGACAGTTTAAATGTTAAAGATGTGATTGTTGGAGGTCTATTTCTATCTTTCCCTTACCTTGTTTAAAACCAGATCTGTTGTAAATAGTAGTTACAGTTCATGGTTTTCCTTAGTTTCCCTTGATGATCCATGAGTAGAGCATTACATTGATGCCTTCATTTCAGTTTGCTTAAATTACTTTTATTATTTTTCAAATGACAAACATAAAGCCTGTTTTTCATTAGTAACTTCATACACAGCGTTTCATTCATACTGTTAAAAGATGTAAGAAATACAAATCATTGCCAAAATCAATAAACTGAAGTATTGACTTTCAATCCTGTCCTGTTTAGAAGGCATTAATCTACATACTAAATCATGTCATCATTACAATTCTGTCGATCTTGCAGTTTTCATCATTTTTTGTACCATGTCTTCTACCACTCTTTTTTACTTGAAGGGCTTTTTTTCCAAATGCTGGTTTGTTTTTTGTTTCACCCTATAACACAGACAAAGCTCTAATGTTACTGCATGATCCAGCAGACAGATGGGGCCGTTAAGGGTAAACCTCCAAAATCTTTAACTCCTGAGTTTAGTTTTTCTGGAGGTAAGAGCAGCAGCTTACCTGGCCATATCCAAAGAAAGATATGTTCATGCTCTACAGTAAGCCTCAATACTTGGAGCTGGATCTAAACAGATTTTTTTTTTATTATTTTATTTTATTGTTCTTAGGCTCCCACTCTCTTATGACTGCACCTCACCTTGTGCCCATTTCTTGTGGTTGCATGGCTGGACATCCATGCAGTTCCCTGTGCCAGGATGTTCTGTCATCCTCTGCCAGCTGGGCAAGAACTCTCCTGCTCTCTGCAGTGAAATGGTGGGCAAGAAACTGCAGGGCTCTGCGTAACCCACCTCCTCCCTGCACAGGGCAGAGATATCAAATGAAGCTAAAGCACAGCTGAGACTTACTCCCATATACCTGACCCAGGATCAAACCTGGATCAAATAAGTGTGTGGCTGAAAGGTTTATATATGGATGGTCATGTGGTTCAGGGTAAAAGAAAGCATGTAGGAGCAGACCTGAGTTGAGTGTGTAAACACCTGTCTCTGGTGAGACGAAACAATAGGTGTGTACTGTATATATTCATTAGTGTAGGAGCAAATAAGTATGTGACCCATCCCTCCAAATGTCTAATCCAAGTCAATTCCTTTCATGGCTGAAGAGTCTTTTAAGACCTCCCCAACAAAGTTCAGCCTACTTTCAACTTCACTAGGCATCAACAGAACAATGTGGGTCTACAGGAATCTTTCTAAGCGTAAAATTTTACTGATAATGACAACTTCTTTAAAATGGAATCCTTTAGTCCTTAAAGCCATGGAAGGTGTTCCTGGCCTGCCAAGCACTAGTGCACATTGTCTGTACAGGACTCAGGTGGGGTAAGGGGTGGGGTACTTGGTGATGTTGAAATGGTAAGGGAAATCAATCTGAAATGAGAAATTGATTTGTGCTCTGGTGGTCTATGGAACCTCAGTGCATCAGTTAGAAGAATAACATAATTAGAGACATGTTGAACTGTATTATTTTATTTTATTTTTTATGTATGCTCTTCAGAAAAACAACTGGGAAGTGGCTTAATTTTAAGGGGGCAATGAAATTCTAAAGGAGCACAGTTATAACGAAAACTCAAACTTTAAAGGAACTAGTAAGGCTTTAGTTTCAGACTGAGTAAAAAATCATCATTTGGCCCCACCATC